ATCATGCTTTCAAATAAACCCCCATGCTTTTCCAAAAGCAATTTTAAATGGAAACGAAAAGTATTCACACTCAATTCAATGTTATTTTCCCTTAAAACACCCATTATTAACCCTTCCGCCATCTTGAAACAAAATGGCGGGTAATCGGAAAGCTCTCGTTGTTTTATCATCATCGCAGAATCTTCGGAAAAATACGTCATCATTATGCAAATTAATTTGCATAACTCATGAATTATTAAGGGGTAATTTTGCTAATTATGCGCATGAAAAGGGGTCCATTAAGCCCCGCTACACACTACTTATGACACTAGTAAGAGTATCAATACAACTAGCCCCTGTCATTTACTGTAGATTCACATATTAGTATTCTAACTTTGCTTTCCGTTCATATGTAGACACATGTATCAGAAAGTTGTCTAGCAGCTCCTCTCACATGTGAATATTGTCAGTTAACGAATATACCTCGAAAAGAAATGAGAAAGCATCAGACTGAGGAATGTGAAGAAATCGATGTGGAATGTGATTTTAAATCAATTGGCTGCAACTATACTAAGGTTAGTGTGTTAGTACACTGTATTGGTTGATTTTAGTAAGGCTGACAAGACAGGCAACTTCAATAATGTATGGACACTTAAACCACATGTCTGATAAGACTATTACAAGACAGTCGTCTATTGTAAGATTATGTTCGTACTTTAGTTCATGCGTCCGGGAAGTGTGTCATATTGCTGATTATTATGAAAAAATAAACATGATGGCTGTGTTAACACAGAATGATAGCTTATACTCAGCATACTTCCCGTCATCCCCTGCGCGCACAAATTAAAAGCTGGAATTGCCTATTAAAAGGATGACCATTATTTTCTCAGTCTGATAACTGCAGGTTGATTACTATCTGTTGTACGGCAATAGTGCTTTTAAATAGTGAAGCCTACCTGTCGTCCAACAAATCGTGGTCAACCTGTAGTTATTATGGAGTGAGAAAATGTTTATTCATTTTCATATATGCAGAGATAGATTTACTGGAAGGTGGAGGGGTGTGCTCCCTTTTTTGCCTTCGCAAACGGGTGGGGTACACTTGCCTTGCTGCCGTAGCCAGCTCTACTGATTACGCACTTGTGATGGTCATGATCAATGGTCGAACCCAGAACGATGGCCAATGGTCGATGAGTACACACCCACGCACGCACGCATCGCCAACTGAATCCCCATCCCTGTATATATCTATTAGTCATGAAAGATATGATGCAGTTTAATTTTCCTGCTTTCCAATCATGTTTTGTATTTATAATACGACTTCAGTCCGTTAACGAATAATATTATTTAATTAGGTGAGTAAAAGGAAAGAGCTTCGCAAGCATTACAAGGACGCGTCTCGTTTTCACATTCAACTGTTACTGAGGTTAATTTCCATACTGCAAGGCGAGATGCAAAGTCTTGCTCCGAAATTCGAGAATTTTGCGACGAAGCAACTGGTTTTGGACGAAGTCAACGGAATAAAAGATGCAATTTCGGCCGAAATTAAAACCATGGAAAGTAAATTCTCTGCAATGATGGCAACTGTAAATAGTTTAATAAGAAGATTGGAAAACGTGGATTTAAATGGAGCAAGTAGTTCTAACGGTTCAGGAAGTAACGCTGAAATCAGACGAGTTGAGGTGAGAATGGGGAAGGAAATAGAAAAATTACAAGCAAAAAATAACAGGCTTGAAACACAACTGAGGGAAACAATGGAGGCGATAGAAAGATACCAAAATAAGATGGAACAGATTGATCAATCCGTTGCTGTTATAACAGCCAGGTTTGCAGACCTCGAACCAAGAGAACCGTCTCAAACTAAAGTGAACTACAACGGTGTCTTACTTTGGAAGATTCGAAGGCTACCAAAGGAAGCGACAAGATGCTATTAATGGAGTGAAGACTACCATATTTAGTCCATATTTTTACACTAGTGAGTTCGGATACAAGATGTGTGCTAAACTATATATGAATGGAGATGGATTTGGAAAAGGGTCGCATTTATCTTTGTTTTTCGTTGTGATGAAAGGCGATTACGATGCTCTTCAAACCTGGCCGTTGCAAAAGAAGATCACGATGATGCTGTTGGATCAAGGCAATGGAGATCATATGATTGATGCGTTTAATTCAGATCCTCAGAGTTCTTCGTTTCAACGTCCCAAGTCTGATATGAATATCGCGTCGGGTTCCCCACTCTTTATGCCGCTTGGTAGCTTGAATAACCGTCAGTATATCAAAGATGATGTGATGTTTATTAAGATTATTGTCGACTGACAAAGGTGTACACCAGGGCCCAGTTGTTCGAAGCCCGTTTAGCTTAAACGGTGGATAAGTCAAAATTAAATAACAGATTCACACATTTTATAAATGATTGAACTAAAATCTCATACACTAAATACATAGTTGCAAACATAATTGTTCTACTCAAGTTAGAATATTTTAGTTTGGTTACTTGATGAATGTATAAACTTGATTAATATTTTTTACTTATCCACCACTTAGCCTAAACGGGCTACTAACAACCGGCCCCTGATCATAGTGTGTCATTCCACATCCGCAATTGATGCTTTTTCCGTAAGGATTCATTTAAATCCTAACGTTATAACTGCGTGAGAGTGGCATGATGCTTCAATGCTCTCGGGTTTTTTCCGACGTCTCCCAAAAGACTATTTATCTTAGAGAAAACAAGTTTAAAATGAAAAATGTCGCGTTAAAATAGAAGAAGTAATCACCATCTAAACAAAAATTAGAAAATTTACTTGAAATTGGTCACAAAATTCCGAGAGCATTAATTATATCCTAGTAAGAATGGGAAGGGTTATAACCAACTGTTTAACCATCCGTTCGTTTCTTTCATATATTAACCACTATATATAAAATTGCAATTTACATTAAAAAAAAGTTGACTTGTTTTAAGGCCAGCAACACCGAACGTGATTCGACAACGCGGCGCGATTTTTCAATATTCACTGACAATAACTTTGATCCTGGTTAAAATTTTTCCAATATTTAGATGTAGTATGACATTTTGAGTTATTTGGTCCACATATTTTTCAAAATCTTTCATACACGGTTTTATTTACTTTCAAAAACTGGAAAGTCGCGTTGCCGAATCACGCCCAGTGTATCTGCATGGTTCTTTAATTAAAACAATTTTTTACTTTCACTTTCTTTATTTTGCTTTATACACAGCAGACAAAATATGCTAGTATAATTATTGAACGAACGCCTCTATTGCCGGTGTATGTATAAAACACAAATGATTGGTTAAACAGTTAGTTGAATACTTTGATATGTATATTTTTAAATCTTCCCAATATATATAATCTATACTAAACTGTAATTTTATGCTGACGTGAACGCGTCAGTTGACACTATGAACTGGCATAATATTGCAAAAACCAGGGGCCGGTTGTATAAAAACGTAATTAACTCTAACTGTAGTTAGCGTTAATCACTGTAGTTAAATCCTTAACTGTAATTAGTTAACTACATGACTTAACTGCGTTGCACAAAACGTAGTTAGTTGGATAGTTAACTAATCACGTAGTTAACTGTGCGTGGGGCTTGCGTGGGGCATTTAAACACAAAATTACATAAAGTAAGCAGCAAATAACGACCGCTGACAAACATTTTCAACATGATTGTGGACTCGTATTTTGCAAATAGGCGGGAATTTTATTCAAAACACTAGAAAACAGTGAAAAATAAACAAAAAACAAGGAAAAACCACCACAAAAATCATAAAAGAATGCAGTTTTTCCTTGAGATGCCCACGTTAAACCAAGGTAATGCTGTTTGGCAATTATATATCAGTGTTTCTTGGTGTAATGGACCATACTTCGTCTTCGAGAA